TGAACTATAATTACTGAATATGCCAGAATTCTAAGCCATGACTTAATCCTGGCTTGCTTGAATAAGTAGTTTTTAAGCCATGTTTGAATGTAATGGGGAACTTTGCTTAAAATCAGAAGCAAAAATGAGAAGGAAGCATGCAAAAGATAAACTAAAATTAAATCTGAACTGGCTCTCCTCTAAAGCAGAGATAGTCATGCCTTTAACAATTTAAATATTGTCACAGTCTTGCATGATGAAATTAGAGGAATTCCTTAATTTTTTTTTTCATAATATTGGAACATCTGATCAGCGGATATCTGTATGTCTGGCCACAGGAGGAATTTGCTTTCCTGTAAATAAACAGTTATTTTTACATTCACTTCACAAAACAGTAGTGTAATTTGCATGGAAATTTAAAGACTCTGATCATTCTTTACACTTATTAATATCATTAGCACAGTTATTTCTTCTGCATACCATAGCTGGTCTATATCGGGGTTTTAATTATGCATTTCTGTCAGAAAATGGTTAAAATAATGCTATCAACATTTGCAGGCACCAAAGTTTGCTTTCTTCTTTGTATTCAACCCTAGTGAACAGCAAAGGATTATACATGAGTACTCCAGATGTCATATCATGCATCCTGTTACTACTGTTTACCAAATAAAAAGGGATTAGTACTGGTCTTAAGGAGCATTCAGAAGTTCTTGTATGTTTATAGGACACAGAACATGCTTTGCAACTAGAAATAAGACAAGCAAATGAAGTCTGTGCTCTGAATATATAGTTAGAAACTATTGTAAAATTGGATATTATGCATACATGAAAATATACACTTATTAAGCACTTTGCTGTGTTTAAATTATTTCTTTCAGTGACTTTGTAAGAAATACTTCTGTTCTTTTTGTCCCCGTAATCTTCACGAATTTTATCATTTTTGAATAGGTACATTTCTTAGGTCAGTTTGTTTTCTAATACTAAGTTGGGGCATAATGTGAAATGTTTCTATAGCACAGAAAGAAGAAGTAAGCTTTGTTAAGAACCTGAGAAAAGGTAGCACCAGCTCTGGTTGAAACAGGTTCTTAAGATAGTTGATTTTTAATTGCTTTTTTCAGTCCTCTAGTTCTTCATGCAGAAAAAAACAACTGCATAGTGATCTTCCATACTCACAGCTGGTTAACTACTAAGGACATCTCACATTCTCTAACTATATAGGATACAAGCTTGGAACCATACAATTATCAGTTTGTACACATATATGTATGTTTTTTTGGCAGGCATATCTGCTTATATTCTGTGAATATATTGTTTGTGTTATTGTAACATATGTTCTAGTATTTCCCTTTAGCTCAGTCTATGATAAATGTTTTCAAAAAATAAAATGGCTTCATTTCCAAATGACCACTGTTTGCAAAGGAAATCACTTCAATTTGCAGGTGGTCAGTAACTGATGAAAACTTTCATAAATTGTCTGAGCAAAGATTTTGAACAGTTAAGAGCTATTGCGTTCTTTGGGAAGGATTTACAGGTACAAGTCCTCACTTAACGACCACAATTGGGACCAGAATTTAGGTTGCTAAGTGATGTGGTCGTTAAGCAAATCATGTGACAGGACCCAATTTCACAACCTTTTTGGCAATGGTTGTTAAGTGAATCACTGTGGTCATTAAGTGAATCACATTGTTAAGCGAATCACATGATAGTTAAGTGAATCATGTGGTTCCCCATTGATTTTGCTTGCTGGAAGCTGGCTGGGAATGGCAATCACATGACTCCAGGATACTGGAACCTGTTGTAAATATGAGCTGGTTGCCAAGCGCCTGGATTGCGATCATGTGGCTGTGGGGGCTCTGCAACAATCGTAACTTCGGGCACTGGTTGTGACTTTTTTAGTGCCATTGTAACTTCGGTTGCTAAATGAATGGTTGTTAAGCAAGGACTCTTTATTCCTTGAGTTACAACTGCAATTGGGACTGGGATTGCTCTCACTAAGCAATGTGGTCATAAAGTGCAACATCACCTGACCACATCACTTAGCGACAGCAATCCAGGCATTCCCCTTGCCATCATAACCCAAGACACATGGATCGTTAAGTGGGAAGCGGAGCGAGTCCCAGGTAAGGAATGCAGGGATGCTGCGTGGGGTGGGAGAGACCCTGGGAGGCCTGGCACAGGCTGCGTGCGAGTTGGAAAGGGTGCTTGGTGCAGCGCAAGCTCAGAAAGGCCAGAGAATGAGGGTGCAGGGTATATGTGTGCAGTCAAGGGAGGCCAGGGAAAGGGGGTATGGGGTGCATGTGATGTCAGGGAGGCCAAGGAAAGAGGGCATGGGGTGCATGTGATTGCAGGGAGACCATGGAAAGAGGGCACGGGGATGCAGGTGTGCATGTGTACAAGTGCAGGAAGCTGAGGACAGAGGGCGTGGGGTGGTTGTGATCACAGGGAGGCCATGGAAAGAGTGCGGGGTACATACGTGCGTGTGTGTTATTGCAGGGGTGCCAATGAAAGGGTGCGTGCAATCACAGGGAGTGCGGGGTACATGTGTACAATTGCAGGGAGGCCAAGGAAAGGGTGCAGAGTATGTGTGTGCATGGGTATGATCTCAGGGAGGCCAGGGAAAGAAGGTGTGGGTGTATCCATACTTGTGTGCAAGTGCAGGGAGGCTGAGGAAAGGATGCAGGGTGGGTGAAAGTGAAGGGGGGAAGGAGGGCGCAGTACGTGTGAGCAAAAAGTGTGGGGGGAGACTTACCCCAGCAACTTGTGACCCTTCTTGCTGGCTTCCCATTGACTTTGCTTGGGGGAAGCCAGCAGGGAAGGGTGCAAATGACGATAAAGTGACTGCAGGACGCTGCAACTGGTCGTAAGTGCGAGCTGGTTGCCAGGCACCCAAATTTTGTTCTCATGTCCACGAGTCTGCTGCAACAGCTGGAACTTTGAGGACTGGTCATAAGTCCCTTCATTCAACAACGTAACTTTGAACAGTCGCTGAATGAATGGTTGTAACTTGACTACCTGTAATGAATGCCTTACATTAGTTTCACTGCTATGATACAGTGTAGATTTTTTATTATATTTACTCCTAATCTAGTAGTGGTATGTTTACTGTTGAAGTACTCTATTTTCAGTAATATAGATTGCTGTTATTATATGAATTACAATATACATAGTTTGTGCAGGTATTAACAAGAGCAGGGCTGGTATAAAAGTAAATAGTTTAAATTTTCTTTTTAAAAATAGTATTAAAAATTCACTGCCAATATAAATTTGGGGTCTGACATTTATTTTCTGTCTGTTGAATTATACAGAAGGATGTTTTGCCACTCAAACTGACCAAAAGATTGTCAGTGATAGACAACCAACTTAGTGTAATAAGAATATGAGTAGATTAATGCAGAATTTGAAAAGTGATGATATAATTGAACTTTTCTGGCCAAATTTGTTAGTAATAATGAATTAATAAACTCAGCTTTACAATATTATACTTAAGAAGATTGTGCAGTTATTTAACCATGTTTTGAATTCTGTATGAGTTTGGCCATGTGAATTGCCCATGACTCTAATATTTTTCTTCCCCTGCATAAAACTCCTCTTGGTTGGAACAAACCCTATCGATGTAATAGGCTAGGAACAGCATAGTGGCTAAAAGGAAGCCTCTGTTTGATTCTTGCCTTTATCTCATTAGATAGCCTTAAACAAGCCACATTATTTTAGACTCAGTCCATCTGTTTCTAATCTAGACAGTAGTGACTGTAGGCTCTTGCTGGGGGGAGGGTGCATCGTTGTGATGCATGTGGAAATGGGGCTGGGCTTGTGATACAACAGTGCAGTACTGCTTTTTTCAGTCTGATCCCTTACCTTCCTGCTGTAATTCTAAGGAATTAATTATAAAATGTAAGAATTTAAGGATTATACTGAAGACAGTGTTTGAGTTCATAGATTGCACTAAAGCATAACGTATTTTTATGGTTTTGGCTTTGTATTTTGTGAAGTGGGACATTGTAGTTTATAAACCATGAAGTATTAAACCACCCAACTCTGCATTATTCAGTGAATTGTGGTAAGTAAACAATGACTTAGCATGATATGTGACCCCAGTCTTGTATGTGACATTTGTGAAGCATTCTGAATATTTGAAAGTTCTATAGAAATTATAGCGCATTGGGTTGAATAGAAAGCAAGCACATGGCATTCAATTCAAATGTGTCCTTTCTGACCATAGCTGAGTTCTGAGAGAGAAAATACTTTTTAAGTTTGTTGTGGATTCTTTCTGTACATGATACTGATCGACCAAACTTAAAAAACTTACATAGCTGCCTTTTATACATGATAATCCTAGGGAGCTTGCAACAACATTCATACAATCAGAATAAATAAAACTCACAAAACTCCACAACAACATCACAGATCCCATCACAGTGCCACAACATCCCATCAACTCCATGTTTACATTTGCATTTGCATTTGCTTGGCTCACTTCCATCTTAGCCCAATGCCTGAGTGAAGATCCTGGTCATCACAGAAGGCTAATAGGTTGGATTCTCTCTAAATTTCAGGGGGGAGGCTGTTCCAAAGAGTCTGGGCAAACATGGAAAAGGCACACCTCTGAGGTCCCACCAAATGGTAACACTTAAGGGAAGGGAACTTGTGATATCACTAAGAAATCTTTTTGACATTTTAAATGCTAAGATGATAAATGGGTGGATAAACTTATAGAACTTTTAAAAAATGAGACTTGTAGATAAATTGCCTGACTCATGCAGGATGATCCCAAGGATCTAATTATTACTAGAACAAGAGAGTTATCTTATTAAAAATATTTTTGTCACAACTATATTAAACACCCCCCTCTTTCTCTCTCACACACACACTATGTGTGCACGCGCATGTGTGTGTGTGCTTTTTAATATACCGGACGGACTTATGATGATGTAATACAGTGTATGCATACATAAATGATGTGATTTTGATTACTTCATATGTGTATCAATTTGATGGAATAAGCTGTTTTTTTCCTGTTACAGCCTTGTGTTTATTGGTTTCTGTTTCAGGAAGGTCTGGATGATTCTCAAGAGGCTGGAGTCTCTGAAGCATCAGAGGTGATTCGCTATGAATATCATGTTCTATATTCTTGCAGTTACCAAGCTCCTGTTCTCTATTTTAGGGCTTGTTTTTTAGGTAAGTGCCTCCTATGTCAAGCAAATATTTAAAAGATACGTAATGATATAAATTTTGAACTTAACTGGCCAGAAAATAAAAAAAAATGAGTAAGTGGTTAATGATTCATTTCAGGTACATATTTCAGTATCTGCAAGTATCAGTAACTTAAGGGTGGATGATATCATCTCTGCCTGAAGAAACTTGAACTTCAGAATCCTGGCAGCAAGACTAAACCTGATTACTATTTTCTTTTCTTTTCTTTTTTTTAATCTTAAAAATATGGGGTCATCCCCATAATAGAATATTTGGCCTTGAGAGTTATTGAGGTGTCACTGATAGGAGCTTACAGAAAAAATCATTTTTAATTAATATTATCTAAGTGAGGGAATTTTAATGATGAAAACAAGTTAATCATGTTTCAGTTTTCTGCATAATTTTTAAAATGTGTGCCAAGAGTTGGTTATATATGTTGTTTTTATAAATACATTTCTTAGTTGTTTTACAATGCTTCAGGAAGGTAAAGAACTCCACAACCTTGAAGACCACTGTTAATTATCTTTAATTAGTAGATTAGAGTAGCCTTTCCCAACCATAGTGCTGTCCAGATGTAAAGACTTCACTTCCTAGAATTCCCCAGACAATAGGAAGATTCAAAGAACCAGTTTGGTGTAGTGGTTAAGGTGCTGGCTGAGAAATCAGGAGATTGTGAGTTCTAGGCCTGCCTTAAGCATGAAAGCCAGCTGGGTGACTTTGGACTAATCACTCACCCTCAGCCCAATCCACCTCACAGGGTTGTTGTTGTGGGGAAAATAGGCAGGATATTAGGTATGTTCACCACCTTGAGTTACATATAAAAAAAGATAATAGCGATGAGGAGGAGGAAGAGGAGGAGTTGAAGCATAAATACCTTCAGGATGCCCGGGCTGGAATAGAATGATTGTACTACTGCACTCCAGGTTTTGTGCTCCACATTTTTCCATCCAAAGAGTTGTTCCTGGGGTTAGGGAGTTGAAATCTTGAAGTCATTTCTAACTTTAGTTTCCCATACAGCAGCATCATTAGCTTTTGTGTGTGGAATTATCTTGCTTTATCTAGATTAACACATCTGAATGTTGCTAGTGATATCTTTTTCTTTTTAATTAAAAAGTAGCTTAAGCTGCTCTGAATGTGCTTGGTAGATTTAATCACTTGCTGCCTTATATTGTTTAATGGCTTTTAATTTTGCCACGTTAGCATTTTAACTAGCTCTTTGGATGTAAAATTGGAAGAGGAAATTTTCAAACAAATCTGGTAAAGAGGTTTTTAATCTCAGGTTCATATTTTTGCACATGATAATTTAGAGTATATTTGCAATTTAGGAGGTAGGAAATGAGGTGCATATCTCAAGGTATATTGCTTGTAATAGTTTGCTAACTCACACTGAGATTATATCCTTGTAATTATTACAAACTTTTGACAAAGTAGCAACACACTGTTGAAACTTATTTGCAGGTGGGCAAATAAAGAAATGCTTGCTGCTTACTTGGTGATTTCAAAACATAAAGTAAGAGACCCATTAATTTAGCATGTGAAAATATGTCATGTTTGTATTCATTGGAACAACAGCATTCCCGTTGGGTGAAAGTGGAGGGTGGGAAGGAAATGCTGCTGTGGCTGCAGGTACTGTGTAAGGCGAGTTTCATCCCCACCCCCATTTTTTAAAAGTATGCTATTTTCATATAATTAGTATTCACTATAAGCAGTTAATCACCAGAGAAGAGCTCCCAGAGACAAAACAAGTTGTTTAGCTTGTCAGCATCAGGGAATCAGATGTGTTGAAACATGACTCCTTATAGCTGGAGTGGATATTACAGAAGCTGATGGATGATTTAATGCACCATCATTATATTGCATGCCAACAGCTCCCCTTGCAGTACAGAATTTTAATTGCTCCTGAAAGTATAATTATATGCCATAACACGTTTGTTGGGAATTTTTCCACAGTAGAAAACAATAGCTTTTGAAGGATTTTTTTACAACAAACTTGGGGTTCCTTCTCTCTTATATTTCTTCACTGAAGAGTAGGACCAATCCAGAGCTAAAATGGACCATTTCCCCATAGTTTTTGTTTAGATGCCCTTTGGATGTTACAGAGTTGCAATCCTTATAACATGCTTCTTTTGAAAGAAAGACAAAGACAAATCTAACATAATAGAACCATTTAAATTAAAAAATTGTTAATGTCTTCAATGAGCAAAGTTAGCTGCAAAGATTAATTCTTTCATTATTTAGTTTGTGAACAGTAATTTGAAAATAACTTATTTAGTTGGATTTACTCATGTAATGATAAGCTTCTTTTAGCAGCACATGGAATGTACAGATAGAAAATAAAGCTTCTACAGTGCTACTAAAAGGAAGCATTTAATTCCATATTTCTTTCTAATATTAATTTTTTCAGCTTGTGAATATTTACAACCTTGCATAGAAATATATATTTATCTCATTCAGCCACTGATACTAAGTCAGAGTTTGTGATATATTAATACTGTGATTAATATGTTATATCTTGCATTGTGTATATTCATCCAATATAGTTTATCTAATGTGAATACTGTTAGTTCTTCATACATTTAAAAAAAAAATTCTGAAGTCTTAATTTCTTAATCTTAATACTAGCATCTTATCTGTTAGAGCTATAAGAAAAAATATTTTTATATTACTAATAGTTTTTTTTTTCTTCCATATGTAAACATTACTTCTGGTTGCATGATTCATGTTGCATTGTCTACATATCTGTGGGTTTCTGGCAGCACTTTGTGTACTTTATAGTAAAGTAAATTACAACTGTGACACCAGGACTAGGTTAAGATGATCCCAGGTTTTGTATAGCAACATGGACAGCATTTCTTTCTAAGGCAATTTCTTATGAGATGTGCTATTTTTGTGCAATGGAAATGAATAGTCATCAATACTGGTGATTCTTCAACATGTGCTCTTGCAGCAATATGAAATTACAAATATTTTTTTCTTAATTTTCTATGTAGAAGTGACTTCTGTGGCAGCAATTTTATCGTTAAAAGGTTCATAAGCATGTTGCTGAAACATTTTCCTGCTTTGAAATACATTAAAGTTAATAGGGACGTTATTGTTTAACCACATCTAACAGTTTTTGAAATGTTAAGTATAAATTTAAAGATTCATTTGAATTGTACACTTTCACTCCAAATTTGCTCTTTCTAAATTAAACCCCCCCATTAATTATAATTAATTTTAAAATTCGTATTAAAAAGTTGGAAGTAAAAATTATAACTGTATATAAGTAACATACTATGAAAGTGTTCTTCTCCCATATATTTGTGTGACAGAAATGCTGATACAGCAGTTTGTATTAGAACAGGCAGTGACTTTGAAATAGGTCCTGTCTTCTGCTTCGTGGAAGAGTTCCAGGATCAGAGGGATGGACTTTGCAAGCTTTTCTGCTTTTGAAGACAAGGAATTGAGCCTTTATCCAAACTCACTGAATGCAATAATATCAATTTATGTAGCTCCCTTTCTATATTTATAAAGACTTCATTCTAGAATAGGGCCAATTCAGTCAGACAAAGAATACATGAAACAGAATAGCAATTAAAACATGAAATTGAAATTGTGCATTACCATATCAATAACAGATACTCATATTTATCTAAGCAAATTTGTTTTACTTAATATCTGGAAGGAAGCCAGTCATGACAGATGTAAAATGGAAGTTTCGCAGCAGGAATCAGATCCCTTTTTATGTTTAGCATTTCCTATTAAAACTAGTGCTGTGCAAAAAAATTCTTTTGCATTTGCTTTAACCATCTGCCTTCAAATTGATGAAAAAGAAATTGCTTTCTAAATTTATGAAAAAAAAGTTGCAGAACAATTCTCATGAAATTCTTGTACTTACTTTGTTTTATGAAGTGGTCAAAAGAGAATATGTTAACAACCTTTCTTTCAATGTACAATCATCTTTACAGCAGTCTTCAACTGCCCTAGTTTCCTATGATTCAATTAAATCCCAAAGGAGACATCTAGAGGAAACTCCTACAATAGGCCTTTTTCAAAACAGGAAATGTGAGCAGCAAGGAAGACTGCAAAATGAAAAAATATCCATAGAAGAACTCTTGATCATCTCAGAATCGTTAAGTAAATTTTAAAACAAAATAAAAGGAAATACATAAGCACCTCAAGAATGATATAGGAAAATGGAAAACTTTTAGATGGAAGATAACTTTTGGGAACTTGGAGGATCAGATTTCTGGGTAGTAGTAATTAAAAGGCACATGGAGGGCATCACCACAAACCTGTTTTGGTTAAGTTTTCTTTGTGTTAGTAACATATACGATAACTAATCCATCAGTATTTGGGGTTTATTTGCTGTTGTGACACATTTCAATTTTCCTACACAGATATTAGTTCCTAATATTATCTTTGCTTCCCTTATTGTTTTTGCACTTGACATTAGTGCTGCTAAATAGTAAACAGAATGTTGTCCTCCATTTTGAGTATGTTAAAAAAAAAACCTGAATCTGATGGCAACAGGATTTTGAGTTCTATCTAAATATGACATTCAAATGTTAATTGGAAGAATAAATCTTGTTTATTTCATGAAGATGAAAATGTCAATGGAATGAGACTATTTATCACAGTATAATGTCCTCCTGACACCTGATAAATGCCATGATAATGATAGTTATTGGAAAAAAAGTCAAAATATTCTCTCATTTGTCAAAAACAGATCGTATATTTGTTTCAATACAGTAACTTCATTTTATTAAAAAAAGCTGATCCAAGAGTGAAGGTATAATCTATATTGCACAGAAGACCTTGTCGAGAGCAGTTATCCTACCATTTAGACATAAGTTACAAAACGCTGATAAATAAGTTTGGACATCCTAATTTCTTCACCTGTATACAAACATTCTTCATGACATTATTGTTGTGGTTTTTTTAGATTAAGAAGAATTAATGTCCCTATCACTGTTAATTTTTTTTGTTTGTTTGCTTTCAATCATATGTATTTTGGTGATCAAAATTATATAGAGATGTTATAAACAACTTCTCACAATAGAATTTGTGGATTTCTTTTTACAGATGGAAAACCTTTAACTCTGGATGAAATATGGAAAAGTGTGCATGAATGCTATAGGGATCGCCTCTGGCAAGGACCATGGGATACCATTACACAACAGGTTAGCTATTTCTATTACTTGCATGGAGTTATTTATTTGAAAAATGAGTTTTAGAGTAAAAGAGATTGTTACTAGTCCATCTACTAGGATCTACCATGAAACTGATGGATTCATTTGAATAGAAATATTAATAAAATAGAAAATAATTTGAAGAGTTTTTAGGTCACTCTTTTTAAGCACAGTATGACTCCACACAAATGACTCCAAATAGGTTATGTTCTAACTTTATTGTTACTGCTTGTTGCTATTGTTACTGTAGTAGCAATACTTCAGTCATAGCTTGGCCCATGATAATTTCTCTTGGAAAATAATGAATCACAAGGAACTCCTAGCTTGATTTTGAAAAGAATATTGTAGCATAGAGCATTTTAGTTTCTCTCCATCCCCAAACTTACAACTGCCCAGAGACATTGGGCAGCATATAATTTAATAAATAACAACAACAATAATACATATGAAGTTAAGATTAATTTCTAGGGTTGTTTATACATTTTTGCTACTGTATTACTGAAAATAAACCTGTTTAACAGACCCATACAGTGGGAGACCTGCTCCAGATTTGCTAAACTTAGGCGTGGTAGGATAATAACTATGCCACTGGTTTGGATGTAATTTACCATATCAGGAAATTAGCCTTAAAGTGCATGATCATTTTTTCTACTATGAGATTGTGATACAGAAAAACCTATTTTTTCCCTGTTGTGTGTACCTTTTCAAATGTATTTTATTTTATTTTGCATTTAAAAGCACAACCAAAGAAAAAAGGAACAAAAGGAACAAAAAGGAACCAAAAAAAAAAAAAAATAGAAAAGAGATTTGCAAGCTGTATAAAATTGAATGAGAATTTTCAAATAAATACTAGATTAGTACTACATTTAAAAATGATCTTATATGAGTTTAGCATTTTAAAACCATGGTCAAAATAAAATCAATAATTAGCAAATGCAGTAAATATAAGAATCATTCTAAATAAACAGTTAATAAACTTTCTATGTAATCTGAGAAAGCCTGTCACTATTAGCCTAATCTAATTTTGATGGACCATTTGGAGAAAGGAGAGATATCTATTCCCAAATGTCCCATGCTCCACCTGTGGGCACCTCCTTAGGAGGCTGCATTTTTTTCTGGTGCAGCTGGCATATCCCCAATGACTTTGGCTGAAAGTATTTTGCATTCTTCATTGAACTAATAACAGAAGTAACATAAGGAGAAAGAGAAGATATATGCAGTTTGACTGTACTGATCCAAATGATGTGTTAAATTTCTGTCAGATGGTTCCACCAAAAATATTTTTAGGATGTTCTGTTCACTTTTTTCAGGACCCCAGTACTTAAGTAAGCTACAGCTTTGACATAGAATAGAAAATACAGTCCTAGTGGATTTTAGTAGTGGAAATTCTAAATCCAGAACCAGGTCTAGATACTAAACCTTTCAACTATGAGCCTCTTGAGGAACAGCTGCCAGTAGAACCATCTCCTATGTTCGGCTTATATTTTTCACTCTGAGAGCAGTGACCTGAATATTGCAATATTTCTGTATACATCCCAAAGGAACGGGGTAACTGAGTACCCAATAATTCGTCTTAGACTATAGACAAGTTTTCATTTATAATGTTTATGTTCAATATACAGAAAGGCATGTACATGTTCACATGAAGATTGTATACTCTAAAACGTCCTTCCCCAACCCAGCACTCATCAGATGGATTGGCTACCGATTTCATAATTCCTTAACAGCATAGCCAACCTTGGTATATTTTATGTAGTTAATAGGTTAATGAAAGATGGCACATTCAGAAATGAATATTGAAAAAGGACAAAGAATGACTCAGTGGGAGAGCATATACTTTTCATGTGGAAAGTTTTGGGTTTTCATTTTTGGCATATTTAGTTAAAAAGTCCTTGTTGGTAAGGCTGAGAAACTCAGCCTCCTCAAAAGTGTGTTACTGTAGGCTTATATCCCTAGTTAGTGATTCTAGAAGCTATTTCAGCACCACGTCATTTTGCTCATGTGTACAAATTAGCATCAAGCTGGACTATTTTTAACATTAATCCAGCTGTTACTCTTATGCAGTATGTAGTTAAGAATCTGAAAGGCATGTTTTTCTAGTAGTATAACAGTGCTGTCCATTACATCATTTAATTTATGGCAGTGTTGAGCAAAAAATCAATAAATTATTTCTAAAATGTCAAGGATGTTCATGATACTCTTTTTTAAGGAAGCAGACTCGAAACTATTTCTGAAGCTTTGATGTAATGGTGCTAAGGCAATACAAAGTGGATTCATGATAGAGAGGTTTTAAATCTTGTCCTTGCATCTTGAAGAATGTGTGTAGATAGCTATTCTTAGACATAAACATTTCTCTGGACATGCTGCAGTATTTTGTTAAGTAGAAGGGGTCAGGTATAGTGTAGTTTAACAGAAGGTTGCTAAGATTTCTCATTAAATGTCTGATCAGTTGTTATCAACAGTTGCTATAGAACACTGGCTAGAACTTCTGGAAAATCATTTGTAGTGTCAGAATTGTGGAAGACAAAAATATAAATATGCTGCACTTATTTTAATTTATCCTTTTTATTTCCATGTACAAATTTGAAACATAAGCCTGGAGAGGCCATAGGTACCAGTACATTCAAAATTGGGCTGTTCTGTTTTACTGATTGAAGCTTTCTACTTTAGTATCACTCCTGGAAATCAAGGAGCGATTTTTAAAAACCCTGTGACCACAGATTTTCAAATGTGTAGTTCAAATATTTATGAAGCAGCTGTATAAATTTAAGAAGTCAGAGTTATTCTCATATATCTACTTCTGTTACTGTTTCCATTTTAAAGTTCTGGAGAAATATGATGATGACAAAAACAACAACAAAATTCCAAAGTTCATTTCAGCATGGGGCCTACCAGCATCCCAACTGAGGTTTCAAAACACCTTCAACTGAGCAATTGGTGCCAAAAGTTTTTCTTTTGTTTGCTATTTGGGGGTTTAAAGGACAGAATGGGAGGCTTAAGCCTTGCATGTTGGGCTTCATGCTAGAAGTGGCAATACATCTTGACTCTCCAAACACTTAACCCCATATTCAGGGACTGCTTATAACAGAAACTTGCACACGTGACAAGCTAGGTTAGTTGTTTTATTGCAGACAAGAAGGAAACCAAATACCCAGAGATCTGCCACCTGCACTACACAGAAATCAATGCCTATTGTATATGTAGAGCTCTAATTTTAAATTCTAGGCCTTTTTCTCATGCCTTTTTGAGCCAAAGGAAATGAGTCTGTCATCTTCATGGTTTTCTTATTGGGAGGCACCTGCTCAGTTTTGACATAATGGTTCTGTCTGACATGGGAATTGCTGGTACTGCCTTTACAAATTCATTCCTTATACTGCAGGTGTATTTTAGGTGTGGTACTGCAATCCTTGACATATCATGCAAATTCTGATGGTACTGATCAGTCTAAGCTATACCAACACATTGCTTATTATGTAGGTTAGATATGTCCATGGAAAACTCCTACAATTTGCATGGTCTATTTTAATAACCTATTCATCTTCCTGGCAGATCAAAATACTGTAGAAGATACAGATAATTCACTGAGCATAATAACTGAATTCAAGGAAAAAGGAACATTTAATGTATTTAATGGTTAATTCACTAAGAGCATGATGAGCTGTCAGGTGAGCCTAAAGCATAACCAATTTATAATTTAATCTCAACTATTTTTGTTGGGTTTTTGTTCTAGATGATTTTTGAAAGTCTTTAGGAAGCAGCTTTAATAATTTACTGAACAAGAAAACTGACAGTTTGTATTTTCGTTCTGGATTGCATAAATATGTCATTGGTTATTCATGAAAGATAAATTAATCAATAGCTAATAATAAAGGCACTTGAAAAGGTGCTTTGCAGTGATGTTGATGTGAATGAAGTGCCCTTCCTCAAAATGCTGAGGCAGCCATGTCCTCTGGAAGGTTAAACTCAACTCAAGGGAGTGTTTATCTTTTTAAATAGCTATTAGACATGACTGAAAACAGGGCCTCTATATGTTGGTACAGTATGCCACTGAATGCCAGTTGCTAGATGGCAACAACATGACAGACTGTTACCCTCACAGTTTCTTTCCTGGGATGGTTTTAGTCCAGTAAATCTCTTTTAAGTTCTAAGCCTGAAAAGGAATAAACATAAACTATTGGGATTCGTGCATGAAAATTTAATCAAATTCAACAAAGATGGCTTTTCCAGCAGAGATTACTGCTTAGAAGAGTGAGGCTAACAAGACATTACATGCAATGATCTGGGTGAAGTCATGTGTATCAGGGCCTGCCATACTTACACACACACACACACAAGATAATAAATAGTTACCTTGTAGTGGAACATTTGTTCTGTAGTATAACTCAACCATTTTGGTTATCTTTAAAATGACAGTGTAACATCATTTTAAAGAATTTCCAGAATTTTTTCTTGGTTGGCCTGTTACAAAAAAAAATTGTAAAAAATTAAACTATAATAGTATTCTTCTTGAAACTAAACTTTTTTACCAGGAACTACTGAGACACTATTCATCCTTTATTTTCTTAATTCTTTCATTTTCATGTAGATGGTTTGAGCTAATTTGGATTTTGAATCTAAACTTGTCTTTATGTCACTCTCTTCAGCATTCCTGTAACTGACTCATTTTCTCAGCTACCTTTTTGTACAAATTTCTCTGTGTAAAAGCAAATTTGAGAGAAAAAGAACTTGGTCACACTGCATTATGTGGAGTCCTAAGGTTCCTTGAGAACTTGATGGGGTTCTGTGAGAGACTACAGATTAAAAAAAGTTCACTTGTACACAGCCAATTTTCTATCACTAGAGATTTTCCTTTGGATCAGGGGTTCTGGGAATTTTTTTTTTAAACAAACAGATTCCATGGCCTGAAAATGTTTTGAAAATCCCCGCTCTATCCTGTACTCCCAATACAATACTTGTGAGACTGATGATTTCACATACAATCTAGCTCTTTG